ATCTTACTGGTCTCAGCATCATTGGCGGCATGACATTGTTCCCATCTGCATTGGAGGTAAGTACCAAGTAATCCTGACTGTTGTTCTTATTATTCTGCATGTCATATGTTTATGGACTATATGATTTCCCCCGAATATTTCTCTGTCATGTCTAAAGACGATTTTGTTTGAATATAGAAGCAATCTGAGTTTATCATGCTTTAAGGATCTGTATATGTACAGTATCACTTACGAAAAATGCTACGGAATCTTTTAGACTGCAAAGCCTCACATTATTGCTTGATATTTTATTTAACAAGGTTCATGAAAAAGTAATAAATTCGTTGCTAACTGATAGCTTTCATTACAAAAAGGTTATCAACTTTTTTCATTTTTTATGTAAAACAGCGGAAAGTTCAGATTTCTATTTTCACGTTGTTTCTGTAAGCCTATATTCAGGGATAGAGCCAGGAACTAAAGTTACGGGGGGCAAAAATTTAGAAATTTAATGTACAAAATACCTACTTAGTGCTTACCAACAACGTGAACGGGTAATTAGATGAATTGTTAAGTTTGTTTTGATACTTTAAAAACAAACTAATCAAATGCTTGTAAACAAATTTGAACAGAAAATTCATTAGAAACTAAAAGTTCGCAACAATCAAAATCATAAATAAAATGTATAAAACCATAAACATAACATAATTAAAAAATCATCAGACACATTACACAACAAAAAATTAGAACATCAGAATATGTTATAAATTTAAAATTTAACCCTCAAAGTTTAAGAAACTCAATGAATGAAAAAAGAAGAAGAAGTTATTTTGATATAAGTATTAAAAAAGGACGCAATTACTAACCAATAATCGAAGAAAACGAGTTGCTAGTTGAAAATGTAGTTCGGAGTAAGTAGTTGCTAGCCGAACTGAAACTTTTCTTCATAGGTACTTCCTTGTTTGTGGTCGACGGATCTCTGGTGAGATGGTAGCTAGGAAAAATAATAGACAGATTAAGCATTAGGGTTATTTAAAGATTTGGGAATTGTTTTTCAAATTTTGCAACTGAGTGATGGGAATGGTGGAAGGAATGAAGATGATATTTGTTGTGTAATTGGGTAATGGGCTGTTGGATACTAAAACAAATCTTTGGGCCAAGTATAAAATAAGAAACTGATTTTACAATTGTGATGGGTTGGTGAATGGTTGGTGGGCTAATGAACTAAAATTAAAATATTTCAATATTTTTTTGAGACTTTTACTGGACATGGGCTTGGGCATTACATATTCGCAAAATTAATTTTCGAGGTGAAATTAGAAGCCTTCTTCTGGCAGCAGCCTTTTCTTTCCCCACCAGAGCCTATTTCCATATCCTAGAGAAGACACTTGAAGAACTAATTTTACCTTTATCCCTTGTTTGGTTTAGTTAAAAAAATAATTTTTTAGTGAAGTTTGATAAAAGTTGATGAAAATTGTGGCCGAAAAGTTGATAAGATAGTGGGTCTCATGAAATTGTTGAAAATGAGATTGAGGAAAAATACGTTTTAGAAAGTGGGAAACAAACGGAGGGCTTAAAGCATATTTGGTAGGGAATATTTGATTGAAAACAAGCTAAAAATCTCGTTTATTATACGTCTAGTCATACTCTACACCAAACATGCACTTGAATTGTAAACGGGTCCCACAGATGGCCCATAATGTCGGTGTTTTGTAGATTTATGTCCTTGTATGGTTGGATAGAAAATTTGGTTTCAATGTTGGTTAACTGTGTCATTGTGCAGGGAGCAATAATGGGGCCACTGATGACTACTGTTGTAACAGCTCTCAAGGATTTGTATGTAGAGTTCGTGTTGGAACTACCGAAGGAGAAAATAAACTAGTTGGTATTGTTCTGGAAACTCGGGGGAGATTTGATCCTGTGCTCAAGCTGATTTGTTGGAAAATTGCTGCTGTAACCGTCTCGAGTTTCCATTTTTTTCGTAGCTCCCTCCAACATGGCTTGTTTCAGTAAATTTATATTGATTTGGGGTGTCTCTGTCCCTTACATCCCTTTAATTGTAGCATCGCTTGGTTGTTTATAGGAAAAGTGTACATTAATGCATGTAAAGAAGAGAAGTTGTTTAATCCCATTGTTATATAACGAAATCAAAGTTGCCGTTGAAAATACTGAAAATTTTCATAATTCATGTTTACACAGATGGTCAATTATGATTGAGATTCAACTGAAACTTGGTATCATATTCGAATTTCTGCAAGCCACAGGTTGAAAGCAAGTCCTTTGTCCTATGTCTTGCGGACGAAAATTTCACGTTTATCTTATTAAGAAAATGCTCTACAACATAGCTTGTTCTTAAGGGTTCGTTTTACGGCGCTTTTGAAAAATTCAAAAATTCCTTTTAAGACTAATAAGCTATTTTTCACTTGTTTGGATAATATTCTTTAAAAACTGTCTAATTCAAAGAGCTTTTAGATGAAAGTTTTTTTATGAAACGATTTTACAAGAGGTATAAGCAAAAGCAGAAATCAAACAGGCCCTTAGTAAGAAATGTTTTACCACTAAAATATATAGTATATACAATGATTCTTTATATATATATATATATATATAGAGAGAGAGAGAGAGAGAGAGAGAGAGAGAGAGAGAGAGAGTCTATTTATAGTTATAGATAATGATACTTGAGCCCCATTTTTATGAAAAAATACATTTTAGAATAGTGGATTAATGGAAAATATATGATTGAAGAATAAGGAATTTTTTTTTATTTACGTGTAATATTATTTTATGAATAGTGTGTGATTGAAAAGAAGAGAGTGAAAAATGCATTTTGAGAAGAATGAGAATCAAACAAGATATTATAGTTATATACCTTTGCGTAACTTTTCAATATCAGAGGTGTTAAATAGGGATAGTCGACGCGTCTCAAGAATTGGTCTAGGCTCAACTCAACCCACCATGAGCGAGTCCATTGGTTGGGCAAGTCGAATCGGCTCACAAGTCACTCGCAACTTGTCTCCTTTTCCTTCTTTCTTTTTTTAATTTTATTAGTTGAAAATTGCATTTTGTAGCTAAAACGCAAGCCTAAGGCGAGCTCGCTCACGAGTTAACTCGTTGGAATTGGCGAGGTACTCGCACTAGTGATTCAATGTTGGAGCCACTCCACTTTAACAATCCATAAATGGGACAGATCCGGCGTGGAATAGGGTCCATGCGGGCCCACATATTGATGACCCAAATCCGTACAGATTAATGGATCAGCCCATGGTAGGGCACATATTGGACTGCACTGTTCTGGTAGGTATAGAAAAGAGAAATTCACATAAATAGCACCAAGTGGAGGAAAATTAGATTGTGTGGCAGAACTAATTTTCACATTTGTACGTCCTATTATAATAAATAAAAATAGGATAATTATATTCACATCATGGATTTTTATAGATTGGCAAAATTTTAATTGCAGTACAGATCCTCAACATTTGCTCATTCAAGTATGTATGTCCTAAACTTTTTTTGGGTTGAATTCATACTCTTAACCTTCAATTAAATAACATATCTAGTATCTAATGATGGGTTTTGACCTAATATTTAGCGTTCTTAGAAAATAAGGAAAAATAATTAATCGCACTTTTCTATTTCTTATTGCTTTTTGCTTATTTAAAAATATAAGGACAAATAAATCTTTTTAACCGATAATTTGTGATTTTCCTTTTTACTAAAATAAGTACGAACCACATACATGATTGCCTCATGTTATGCTTTGCTCTAGTTATTCCTAAATTTGTTTCGACAATTGCTTAGTTAAATTATTTATTTTAAAAACAATTCTTACTTTACTGTTACATAAATAAGTTGCTTATTTTCGATCTTGAATACTGCAAAAGTTATTTATTTACTTGTAAATAAAGTTTGTAACCTTAGGCAAACACGATCTAGAGACTACTTCTCTACCAAGTAACTGATTTATGTTATGTTCAAATCCAAGTGGCTGAAATTTTTCTATCATGCTGAAAATAACATTGATTTTATCATAATAAATTTTTTTACACATAACATATCCGCTAATCCTTTCATTGTATTACACGTGGCAGTTGGCTCTATGGAAAGATCTAGTGGGCCCTTGGATTTGTTTGCCAACCAGTCTCTACCCGCCAGAATTCGAAATCTTCTTTAATAATATTTTTTTCTTTAATATTATTCTTAGTTTTAGAGTATAGCGTGATTAACCCGACAAGGATGATCTGTGCTTTGTTGAATGTTCAATGGATAAACTTTTAGAGGAAACGATACAACATGATATCAGAAATCTTGATTTTAAGTATTTTTACACCTTACATTATGAAAAATTTTGCAGGTTTTTGACAAAAATGAATTTGACGTTAAGTTGTCGAGCTTAATTACCATTAGAATGTGTATTTTTTTCCTTATGAATTTCTTTTCATTGTAGAGAATTACTACAGCACGAAAGAGGATGTAGTTTCACATTAAGTCAAAGATCTATAAATCTTGCATGATCTTATGCCTGTTTGCTTTTTGCAATTTTATTGCTCTCGATGGTATAGAATTAGGATTAATAACTCTCAACATTTGATAAGTACTCGAAGGTCACGTTGAAAAATGAACTTAAATAAATAAACGTGTCTGGTCGTCCAGCATGTTCGAAGAAGCTGCAAGAGGCAACAGAGCTTTCAGCTTTGCTTACTGAATAAACAAAGCCCTCTCTGAGAAAGTTAGGCCACTGGTTATTGTTATATCTTCCAATTCACTTGGATTCAAAGCAAAAATGTTTGATTTTCAGTCACCATCTCATCTGCTCTGCTGCTATTGTTAGTTGTACCCCTCACCCTTCTGCTCCTCAATCCTTTTATTCGCAACTCGAATCCATTCATTTCCTTGTATCCATTTTTTGGTGAACATTAGGTATTTCTTGATGACACCAGATCAGTTATGCAACTCTAGCAGTGCAGTCTCCTTTACACCAGTTTTGCCACGGGCTGTCGAACAAAGAGATATATCAGCAAATAATTCAAGAAACAGGGCTGCCCCTTTTACTACTTTCTTAGTAAGAATAGCCATGAGAGTATCAAGATCAAGGTGTTACAGTTTCTTGAGAAGAGTTTTTCATTACCAGAACGGATCAAGATTGGATCTCGGGTCGAATCCGTTCAATTCTCGAACCTGGATGTTGATGGAATTTCTTGCTTTAACCGTTCAAATTACTCTCATTACATATGCTCTGTGCATCACCAAAGATGAGAGACCGGTTTGGCCCATGAGAATATGGGTTTCCGGGTATGCTTTAGGGTGTTTCTTTAGCCTTATTCTCCTCAACTGGCGCTATCTGTTCTTTTATGCAACTCAAAGAAACAATAATCCCGGTTTTTCTGATATTGAACAGCAAAGAAATGTTCAAGAATTAAGGTAATTAGCACACTTTTTAAATGTAAATTTGTTTCTTATCATAGATTCATAGTATTATAGTACTGATATGACGATACTATAATTAGAAGTATGCAGAACATGGATAAATGCAGGACATGGCTTGAACTTTTATTTGCAATATGGTTTGTAATGGGGAATGTTTGGGTGTTCGACTCGCGGTTCGGGTCATATCGACAAGCTCCGAAACTTCATGTCCTCTGCATATCACTGCTTTCTTGGAATGCCATCAGCTATTCATTTCCATTCATACTTTTTGTGTTACTTTGCTGCTGTGTACCACTGCTTAGCAGCTTCCTAGGTTACAACATGAACATGGCATCCCATGATAAAGGGGCATCTGATGAGCAGCTTGCCAATTTACCAACCTGGAAATATAAGGATGTTGGCAAGAGTTTCGAGCTTGGGAATCCAACCAAAGACAACGAAAATACAGTATGTTATCTTTCTTGGTTATATAAACCTTGCTATGATGGATATCTCATGTATATTTATTACACCTTACAGAACATGCAACTGATATTTTGTAAAGTTGTCGATCGCTACCCTATCTTTTCAAAATAGGTTAAAACTTCATATTTTCGGAAATCTATCATATGTAACATCTTTCTTGAAAACTAGATATGATAGTAATGAAGTAACTCAAGATTTCAGCAACTTCGGAAAGAAACACAGAGGTTTTAGGACCCTTTTGGCAAGACTTTTAAAGAGTCAAAAGTTTAGATAATATTATGAAAGTTTACAGAAAGTTGATCTAGAATAGCTTTTCCAGAAATTCTTCTAAAAAAAGTAGAAGCCCTTTGAAATGAGCACACAGTATTTTAATCTATTGATTTGTAAATTGGTAAGTAATTAGGAGCTTTTGAATTTTCTGTGTTTTAACAGGAATGCTGTATCTGTCTGGCCAAGTATAGAGATAAGGAAGAGATTAGGCAATTGCCATGTAACCATATATTTCATTTGAAGTGTGTGGATCAATGGCTCAAGATTATATCTTGCTGTCCTCTGTGTAAACAAGGACTAGAGAAATAACCAACACAAAAAAAGAGAAAATAGCAGCAGAATTTTTTTTCTTTATTATAGAAAAATACACAAGAAAAGGGAAGGTTTTTATATATATGTATATTCACATTTGTATGACCTTCACATGGTTACCAGAGTGAGTGAATTTCTTGTACATTGAAGCTCACCTGTAACCAAAATTTATTTGCGAATGCATGAGAGAGAGTTTTGTTTGTGTAAATGAGTTTTACTGAGAAGAAGAGAGAAATTTCATTTTTTATGACTTTTGAAAAGTCAAAAGTCGCTTCTGAGGTTAAGAAGCTACTGTTTATGTTTGGAACCTTACATAAAGAGAATACTGGAAGACTACAACAAAATAAAGGAATGATTGGAGACTTCAATAAATGTCAGTTAATCAAATACATTACAGTAAAACTTTGCAATACTAGAATTTGAATCGCACAGAGGTCCATCCTAATCTGTTGACCTAATCAAGGTTGTTTCGGATGTCAATGTGTTTCCATAATAGACTTTCTTCGTAGAATCATCCCAGTAAACCTGAATAAAGGGAAAATGCCGAGGACAAAAAGCGCAAGAAAGCAATGTGAATAGTACAGCGGACATAATCGATGATGCATTAAAAGATATATAGTATACATCACGTAAAAATCACAAGATAGCCTGAGTAATTAAAACCAAATTTATAGAATCATCGGAGGGCCGAAAAGCGGAACATCCAAGGAAGAATCCTATTTTAGAAGTAGCCTCTTTCACCAACCAAAGAAATACACTAACATAGAAAAATCATTTACAATCTGCCTGAGCTTGCAGTAGATTTGGTGCTCACTTATGACTTACAAGCTATCTAATGGAGATTTGATTCCTTCAAAGCCAAACAATAGCATTTAATTGACGCAACACGGACTCTTTTTTTTTTTTAAAAGGACAGGCTAAAGGTCTTTCTTTATTTTCTGATTTCATCTGAATAGTTTCCGTGCATCTTTTGCAAAAGGAGACAAATTGACAAAAACCAAATGACAGAACACAAAGGAACATTGGTCCAAGTTTTGTGTCCAAGGGCACGTGTATGAAATCTTTCTTAGAAAATTCTGTCAACACCTCCTAGTTCCCAGAAGGAAACAATAGGATCTGAAAATACCTGCCATTCAAATGGAAGACCTCTTGAAAGTGCAGCTAAATCAGGTTGCTGATTCCCTTCTGTTGCAACATCTGATTCACTCTTTTCAGTATCATTCATCTTTTGGGATCTCTTGTGCTTCACTCGTTCTCGCCTGTATCATAAAGAACAGTCACATAAAACTACGGGAATGGACCAATGATGAAGAAAAAAGTCAGGACCAGGTATCTAAAAACTTGCTTCACACTCAGGCTAAGTATTAATAATTTCTAAAATTTCATATACTAGCGTGATGTCTAGAAAGTCCAGGACCAAATACCAAGCACCCCCCAATGGCTGAAAATTAGCATTATCTTTGGCCTCTCCACTGGCAATCTGCAATGCTTGCCATTCCTGCAATTAAGCTGAAATTAAAGAAAATGATGGAAAAACATTATTCATCAATACTGCAACCAGATGAAAAGATTTACAAACCTCTATTTCAAGTTGTCTTTTCTTCTCTAACATTTCATAGGCATTTTCAGGTTCTTCTTCCTCCTCTTCATGCAACTCCTCTTTTGCAGCTTTCCACTAGAGAAACAGGGAAAAAAAATTCAATTACCTACACACTAAAACTGCATGAGACATGTACAAATTCACACTATGGGTTTAAAGGGTTACCTTGTCAACCAAGCTAGAAACCTTTTTACTAGATCTCAATGTGGATACCACTGCAGCAGTCCGTTTTTTACTACGTGGAACTGAGATGGCAAAAACATACACATAAGTTGTTTGCCTCAACAAACATGTTAATGTTAAATGGAATTGCTTAGGTTCTCATGTACCATGGAAATTTTCAACAATTACCTTTAGATTGGACCTTAGAAGATGTTGCTACAGTAACAATAGCAGTAGTAATTGAAGAGGTTGATGAGATGAGACATTTTTAGTATTTGAAGTAGTTCCTGAGGCTTTGATAGAGTGTTGAGAATCAGGAACCCCTGACAACTTGACAGTTGCCTGGTCAGCCTGAAGAACATTAGCTATTGTCTTGGGTAACAAAGTTGACCCCATTTCTGCATGGGCATCAGAGGATCCAGCTGTTTCAGAGCCAAGGCTTTTGAGAATAGTTTCACTATGCATCCCAGAAGACTCCACAGCTGTGGCACTAACCAACAAAGCAGGATTTACGGTTCCATTTTGAAAGCCGTAATATGCAGCAGATTCAAAGGGGTTGACTACTAAGGGAGCAGGACCATATACATTTGATGTAGGATCAAGGGAATTTCAGCAGTTGAACAATAACCAGCAGAAAAAAAAGGCAGAGGATTAAGAAGAAATAGGCAGCAAGAAAGGGGGAGAAGACCGGAGAAGAAACAGGGGAGGAGAAGGGAAAAAGAGGGAATACTTAGGCAACAAACCAAGCAATTTACTTCATCAATTCATCAACTGATTTTCAATCCAATTACAACCATATAAATAACAAAATAATAAACCTAATTTGAGGGCCTGGCCAATCCCATATACAAGCCCAATAAAACATAAGACCTAAAATAAATGGAAGATAAAATGGCCCAAACAAATGGCCTGATGAAGGATGATGTCCGCATCAACTCTCCGGAGATGGGAGAAAACTCGACCCCGTCGAGAGGGTGAATCACAAAAAAGCTACAGTCAAGCTGATACTCAAAATGCAAGTCATGCCACGGAGGACGATCTTTCTGATAAACCAAGTATCGAAATTCAACAGTTGATAATGGTGAAAGGTGCAGCTTATCCTCAAAGCTATGATCCACTCAAGAAGAATGATCTCTCTTTTTAATCAAATACCGATATTAATCTCCAGATAGTAAACATTCATGCAACTTATCTCCAAAATCTTTACGTGATTGTGCATAAAGAGGAGCGTAAGAAATTAGCACCGAAGGCTGGCCTATAGAGACAAAAGATTGCAACATCGAAGGCTCAAAATGGCCCCGATCAGGAAACAATTCTTCTACATTGAACATATAACTTTCATTTAAGTGAGATGACCAGTCAAATGAAAAACCTTTATAAAAGGGATCCAAAAACTGTTTTCACATTTTTAGGAAATCGGATCAAAGAAACTTGCAATAAATTATAGTACTTGTTAATTGAGTATTCTAATTTATATTGCATATCGAAAGTAAACTAAAAAATTTCATGATTCACTAAGCATGAAATTTAGGAACATTGCCAATATAATGATGAGCTAGCACAGCGTGTCGATAATTAGTGGGCAACATCCTAATGTCAATAGGAAGAGTGTGCAATTAGGTAATGACCTTAGAAAACGTGGCAACCCGTGGAGTCTCATGTAATTGAGGAAGAACTAAAACAAAGTCAACATGAAAGTCATACAACATAGTAGGTGTTGACCCCAAAAAGTGCGCCAACAGATGTCGGTCTCACCCGCGCTTGCGTGGGCGAATGTCCAACACGCTAAGACACGTGGACGGTCTAAAATGAGCGCGTGGGACGGTGACGTTCGAAATCCGGCGGGTTGTTCGTAATCCGATTATACAATAATTACCAACCGGTATTCATAAATGTATATGTAAATGTGTATAAACTCGATTTGTGTATTGCAAGTAAAATGAGAGAGAGTTGAGTAAATGTAGTTCTTTGTATTGATTCTTGCATTAGCCTTTTGATATTACACAAAGGAAGTATTTATAGTAGTACATATGAAATGGAAGCCCTTGGATGAAGTGGCACGTGGCCTCATCTTTTTAGTTCAAACATCTTTTCCTAGGTATGGGGTTTGACTTGCTAGCTTGCGGCGCATTTATTGCTTGTGCAGGGCCTCCATGCTAGTGACAAGACTTGACCTTTATGCTTATGACAAACGTTCCATCAATCATTCGAATAAGATCTATGCAGGCGATCTCTTGGGAGAAGTGACCATGGAGGATGTTTCCTTGTGGTTCA